TCAAGCGGATGGAATGTGATGGAGCCCTGGGGGACTCCTAGGAGCCCTGCCTAAGACCACATGGCTGGCTTTCCCCTTCATCTCACCTCCACATCTAGCACTGAGCGCTGCCATTCCAGACCCTGACCTGCAAGTGACCGCTCCTCAGTGCTGCCCTGGTTCTCCCTGCACCAGCCCTTGACCAAGCTTTTTTTTTTTTTAAGATTTTATTTATTTATTATGTTCTGCTTCCATGTATGTCTGCACACCAGAAGAGGGTACCAGATCTCATAATGGATGGTTGTGAGCCATCATGTGGTTGCTGGGAATTGAACTCAGGACCTCTGGAAGAGCAGTCAGTGCTCTTAACCTCTGAGCCATCTCTCCAGCCCTCTTGACCAAGCTTTTTGAGACAGGGTTTCTCTGTGTAACAGCCCTGGGTGTCCTGGAACTCCCTCTGTTGACCAGGTTAGCTTTGAACTCAGAGATCCACCTGATCTCTATCTCCCGAGTGTCGGGATTAAAGGCATGAGCCACCATGTCTGGCTTGGTCTAGGTAATTCATAATTCTTTATTGATCCTGTGCCCTGCAGACGTTTATCAACATCCCTAGCCCTAGATGACAAATAAAAATGTCTCTAGACACTGCCAAAGCTCCTCTGGATGTTAGTGTCATCCCTCCCGAGGAACACAAGACTGAATCAAGACTGGTGACCAGCTGGCTTCTCAGTTGGGGGCACTCTCCCTCCTCTGATTCCCCTGCCATTGGATCTTCATCCTCTGGACTCCCTGCAGACATTTGCAAATGCCAAGGCCCCCACCTGTGCCTGGACTGGGACTTTGCTCTAGGTGTCACAGTTCCAGCCAGCAAGTATGGCTTATAAACACTAAGCACTTAGGTAGCTCATCACTATACCCATTTTCCAGATGTATACAGAGGCTGAGGTTTCACCTACCGGAAGGCAGAGTCCCTGAATTCAGATTTAAACTCATGAATGCTGGGTTTAAAGCCAGTTCTAACAATCGTAATGAGCTGTCTCCCCTATGGTTTTCCTTCACCTTCAGAAAGCCAAGTAGTTCTTCATATGATCAACCACCGTGTGGGCCCAGGAAGGGATCCTATTCCATGACTTATTATTCTGGCCAGCAAGGGACCTCCTAGACTCAAGCCTGCTTGGCCTGTCCCATAGGTGTCTCTTCTCAGGCCTCTTCCAGGCAAGTGCAGTGGTCACTTCTAAGTGGCCCTGGGCTTCTATTGTTCAGGATTACTCCAGATTAAGGCAGCCCACAGAGGACTCCCCAAAACTGGTCCTCTGTCTCACTGCATGTTTGGAAAAGGAGGCTCCACTCCCAGATCCCCTGGGAAAGCAGGAGGGGCTGTGCTGTTTGAAGTGCTCAGAAATGGCTCAGTGGAAAGGTGGGGTATATAGGAACTGTGATTGTAGGGCTTCAGCTTCACTCTGTGGCTCCAAAGGGGTCCAGGAAAAGGGTCTATTCCTGCATAGCAGTGGGCTCTCTTTCCCTCCTCAGACTTTTGTTCCCTTGGAACTGTGGGTGTTAAATACAAAGATATCTGTTTATAGCATTAAATTATGATCCTGACATTAATGACACTGGAGTCCATCCTGGGCTTGAATCTGTGTTCTGAGAATTGCAGGCCATAACCTTAGGACAGAGTTGTAACATCCCTGGACCAGTTTCCCTATCTACAAAGCACAGGGTATGGAGTACTTAGCTTGCTGTATTCTTGAGCAGCTTATCAGGGATATTATCAGGGATAATAAGCAGGTGAAGATTAGCTCCCACAAGTGCTCCAGAAATTCGACCCACTATAATGATCACCAATGGGATCACTTACTTGTGGCTTAACCCTTAAGTCTAGGGGCCATTCATTCAGTTGTTGGTAGGTCACTGGCTTGTGGCAAGCACTCTGTTACATGAGGGATTGAGCAACAAGGCTGGGCTCCTTCAGTGGGACAGAAGAGAGATGTTGTGTCCATCATAGGCATGAGCCTAGGGGCTTGATGAAGTCAGAGCCTACCAGCCCAGTAATGTGTCATGTACCTAACCATTTAATGATTCTGTTTCCTCCACCAAAATGATGACAGCAGTGGAACCGACCTCACAGGGTTGTCACAAGAGTCACATGCTTTGATCATGGTACCACTGAACATGTTGGTTACCTTCCCTTCCTCCTAGAGGCCCTCGTCTTACAAAGGAGTTTATGTAAGGGGACTGTCATTGACTGGCAACATCAAGCAGGCTCTCTTAGTAGAGTGGATCACTCCACAAAGTAGATTTATGTCACGGAGGTATTGTCAATTTAATAACTACAGAGTTGTTTCTATAAACTCTGTCTCCCCTGGACACAGAGCTGAGCTACTGCCTCGAAGCTACATACTAGTTTCACTGCAGGAGGCTCAGGGCCAAGCCAGGCCTGGGCACATTTCCCAAGCACAGTGTTCTAATCTTGTGAGTTCCGAAGCACCACGGCTACAAGCATTTACCATCCATGCTCTCATTTAAACCCTACACCATTCTTACGAGGTCAACTTTATTGCTACAGCCATATGGTTTCTTGAATTCTGCTGGCTGGCAAGACACTTTTCAGGACAGGTGTTAAATACCTCCTGGTTAACTGCCTGCAAGTCTTACCTTGTCAGTCAGGCTGCTGTTGCAGTCTGGGTGTGCCAGGAGCAGTCGCACCAAGTCGGCGTTGCCTTGGTGACAGGCCAGCATGAGGGCAGAAGATCCATCATGGTCCTGGAGGTTGACATCTGCCTGGCAGCTCAGCAGTGCTTGGACCATGTCCTCCCGATCGTGGCTAACTCCTAGCATCAGCGCAGTTTGGCCTCCCTGCACAAAGAGTGACAGCGAAGGCTAAAGCTGGATGTGTCCAGCAAAACTTCTCAAGGAAACGACCATTGATGGGATCGTCCCTCTGCCCATGGCACAGGACACATCCTTTTCGGTCTGGCTAGCTTTGCTTTCTCATGACTCCTGTCAAATCCTATGCCTTTCCAAAACCGTGCTTTGCTTCCCAGTATATAGTATTTTTAAAATAAAATTTTAAAAATACTATATATTCTGGAATACGAGTTGTAGGTGGGTAAGAATACGTTAAAAACCAGAAAGTGAATTACAAATACCTGTGTGCTGCCATCAGTAGGAAGCTATTAGAAGACAGCAACATTTTCCCAAATCATGTTTCCTCTGTGTGTGTGTGTGTGTGTGTGTGTGTGTGTGTGTGTGTGTGTAAGATGTATGTGAAAGCTGTGTGTGCAGGTGGATGACAGTCATGCTCTACAATTGTCCATCTTATTCCTTTGCTGGCAGCAATCCTCCTGTCTCTGCTGCCCACAGACCTGGGGTTACCTGTGTGTGCAGAGCCACACCTACTTTTTAAATATGAGTATGGGGATCCAAATGCTTAAGCAGCAAATGTTCTAACCACCGAACCATCTCCAGAGTGCCTGAAAGCTCCTGGATGAGGCACTGTCTGCAACTTTGGAGAGTGAAGCAGAGAGGAGTTCAACACAAATATTTAGCACTATTATTTTATGTGTATGTGTGTTTTGTCTGCACGTATATCTGTGTTGTGGAATAATCTTTTTGTATATTGTAAAGATTCACTGATTGATTTAATAAAAAGCTGAATGGCCAATAGTGAGGCAGGATTTCCAGGCACACAGGATGTTGGGAAGAAGGGCAGATTCTCAGCCAGGCCCAGAGGAAGCAGGAAAGCAGCATGGACACTACAGAATAAAGGTAATAAAGCCACAAGGCAGAAAGTAAATTAACAGGGTTAATTAAATGGGTTAATTTACATTGTAAGAGCTAGTGGGACAAGCCTAATCTATTGGCCAAGCTTTCATAATTAATAATAAGTCTGTGTCATGATTTGGGAGCTGGCTGGTGGAATAGAAAAATCCCACTATATGTCTGTGCTCAAGGAGGTCAGAAGAGAGCATCAGATCCCCTGGAACTGGAGTTATAAATGGCTGTGAATAGCCATGTGGGTGCTGGGAATTGAACCTGGGTCCTCTGGAAAAGCATCCAGTGCTCTTAACTAATGAACCATATAGCCAGTCCCCAGATGAGCTTTTAAAATATGTTTACACAGCAAACAGCTTTTGAAGAGACAGTGTCTCCTAAGACAGATCAGGCTTGCTCACTGCCTATTATAAAAGATTCAGGTTCTGCAAATTCAACGTTTCTCCCGTATAATACAACAGCTATGGCTTGCTAAAAACTGTTCTCATGTGTTAAAGGCCGGATACCTAGCTCCTCCCCCTCCTTCCCTCTACTGTGTGTTCCTGCCATGGCATTCTGTACCACTACTGGCAAAAAGGCAATGGGACCAAGTAGTCAGGGACTGACCCTCTGAAACTATGAGCCCAGATAAACCTTTCCTTTGTATAGTTCCCTGGGAATGACCCAGGCCCTCAACATAGTAGGCAGGGACCTACTGCCACCAGCTACACCCTTTGACTATAAGTGACTTATTTCAGGTATCACTCATTCTGGTTGGTGGGGAGGTAAGGAAAGACAGGAGAAGTTAGAGACTAGGTTACTTTAAGAACCAAAGAAGCATATCAGTCATATTGCTCAGTTGTAAAAGAATCCTACAATAACCCTCTGGGTAAGAAGAGCCTGGGAAGCAGGGATCCTCATAGCCCCTGGGAGTGAGGGACTGGTGACAGCTCCTGCCTGTCCTGCTACCCACACTCTCTCCAGCAGTCTAATGGAGATTCATGACTTTATTAAAATGGCTTTGGGTGGGCAGAGAGATGGCTCAGTGACTAAGAGTATGTGTTGCTCTGACATATGACATGAATTTGGTTCCCAGCACCCATATGGGGCAGCTCACAACTGCCTGTAAATCCAATTCCTGGGGATCTGAAACCTCCACAGGCATCTGCATA